CAGTCACAACCAAATGTCCAATGAACACAGCCAAGGTAGATGTAAATAAGGATATAGTAGAAGGTTATTTCCGGTGGATAACCCACTAAGAGGGCTTCTATGATAGTATTAGTAAGCTCATATAATGCTGCCAATGCGAGACCTGATTGAGGTAGTCAATGCATCCTTCATGACATTCACGCTTAACCTCCATCTTCCATTCAATTATAGGTCGCTTGAGGCCGAAGCATCGTAAAGGTAAATAGTTTGTGCTTTCTTCATGCAGGGAGACAGACTCATAACCTACCATCGATGGTGGGAAGATACCGTAACAGGATAATCGCATTAATATTTCAATGCTTTTGGAAATACTTTAGGCAAGTGAATAGAGGTGCAGTGGTGCTCAATAATAATTTGATAATTTCTCAGAGGCTCGAGAAGAACACGTCAAGGAAGATCAAAACGGCCTACGCTCTTTGCACATAACGCTCCCAATTGACGAGATCTACGAGGAGAATCACCTACATATCCGCTGCGGCGGTGGCAGATTGGTAGTGGAGGGCGAAAAGGATGACAGCTACTTTTCTCGCTCCTTTCCCGTTCCCTCCGACGTTGATCCCGAAAGCCTCAATGCAAAGCTTTACGATGGAATTCTAACCATCAGTGGTCCCATTTCGTGAAGCCACTATGCAACACCATTTTTACGACAAAAACTGTCCGATAACCCATACATATGCCCTGTGTGAAGCTTACACTTTCGCAAGACCACAAACAGTACACCACTGCAACTTCAGTACCACGGTCCTTCAGAACATCAGAGAAGGGAGTCTGTACAAAAAAGTATACTATGCAAGTGTTTGGGCAATGGAAATTGTACAGTGAGAAAAACGTTAAATGCTAAAGGTCATGAACCGGGTCATTGCCATGAGAATGCTTTTCACCTAAATTGAGAAAAAGTGCCCATAAAGCAAGAAATAGATGGCTGAAAAGAAAACTCAACGTCTGAGACACCTATTTGAGTGCCACATTTTTGATCGTTCGAGTCCCTGCTTGTCATTACTACCAATAAGTTTATTTATATTTGTCACAGTGATTTAAGGAGGTCACTGTAACAGGGTTACAAAGATTAGTATAGCCATATTGACCAGTTAGCGCTCTGATGAGTTGGCGATAACACTTTGGCAAGAATAATCGCACTCACAAAACCTGTTCTTCGTATTGCACCTTGATTTCTGGGAGCGCAAAACTCCACGAAAAAATGTGGGGAGTGAATAAGTTTCAGTAGTAATAAAAGAGTGAGTGAGTGCACGGAGAAGATTGGTACGGAGCTCTTATTAATTTTTAGATAATGAAACCGCCGCCAAATCCATTGGATGGAGGATCTTATAAACA